CATTTTTCAGGGTATATTGAATATCCCTCCAATTTACAATAGAAATGTCACAATATCTGCAGAGAAAAAGTGGGCTTTCCTAAACCACCAAAACGTGTTCTTGATTCAGAATTCCCAGAGGTCCTATGTCTTTAAAGTAGATTTGTTCTCCACATATAAACTTCATTTGTACATATTTAATTGTGATCTCATTCTCTATAAAAGAAAATGTTTCATTGGCTCAGATTTTCTTCTGACGTTTCTATCCTACTTTATTAACATTCTTGTTTCCTGCTTTGCAGTCTTTGCAGTCCAAACTAGAAAAGTGCTTTGCTTGTACTTCAGGATAGGGATGGGAATGAAACCCTTTCAGCTCTGAAACTCTTCATTTTTAAGGAAGAAATAAAAATGTAGTTGACTATATTGCCAAGTTAGCCTTTTGCTTTTTGGCTTAATGTATAGAACTGTATATAATTATTTAAAACAGTACTCGTATAAAGCAATATTAGTGAAACCAGCTTTGCCAAATTTCTCATAGGCTGCTACAGGCAGAGACACTGGCGCCATCTCAAAAAAATCCACATGTGCTAATATGAGCTAGGAATTTTTGTAATTTTTATTGTGCCTTTTGAGGGGAAACATCCTTCTAATAAAAAAGATACTTCAGCATTTCTCAATGTTAAAACAAAACTTATTCTAAACAAAGAATTAATCTTTTCCCTCTTATCTGTGTAGAGACTAACTTATTGGTCAGATATTTGAATCTAAAAGAAGACAATAACAGAGAAATTTAACTTATGAGCCAGGATCTCAAGACAGAAGTGAACCTTGTAACATTATTGCTTCTGTTTAGTTTTAGTTATAGCACTGTTTATAATTTATTAAACAGGATTATAACTGCTGAGGGGGATTTAGGCTGAATTGATAAAAGCATTTATAAGTAGAAATAAACTAAAAACCATAACATAGCATTTCTTTAATTCTAATGACTGGTCCTTATAGTATATGTACTTATTTTTTAAGTTTTATAAATTGTCAAGTCACCTCTATTTTTAAGTTGCAAAAATAGATATAACTTTATTACTATTTAATTTTGTTCTCGTTACAAGTCCTCTATAAATGGAAAGTATTAGCATCTTTTACTAAAGTGGCATTCTAAAAATAATGATTTGTTTTATCTAACTGTTCATTAATAGTAAGAAAGATAATAGCTACTATTTAATGAATACCTATCTTCCATGCTTTTCATTGAGGGAATAGATCCCACAAGTATAATTACTATCAGTTTACAGAACTGGCCACTGGAAGTCAAATTCACTAGGTTATTTCCTCAAGTTATGGTTAGAGCTATGATCTGAATCTGGGCTTCCATAATTCTAAAGTTCGTTCCCCTACTGCATCTTTCTAAAGAAAAAACAAAAAGACCAATCAGTGTGTACCTGACTATATGGCCCCTAATAAAGTCACCAGAGCGAAAAAATACCTCAGAAAAATTTAATTTCTGCCCAATATATAACTGATGAAGAATGCATAAAAGTATTCTTTAAAGTTCACTAAGAAATAGCCATAATTCTAAAAGAAAGACAGTTTCATTAGAATTATATGAATTTAGAGATAAAAGTTGAAGAACAAAGGGAAAAGGTAAAAAGTTTTCTGTGAAGGAATTTAGAAAGAGTCAATAAGAGGATAAATTAGGCCTAATTGTATCCTTTCTTCTTGGGGACATAGGAGGGTCATTATAGTTATTCTAGAATGACTCTGTTTGAATATATGGACTCCAGGAATTCTAAGAGGGCACTCAAAGCACTAGGGGCACATCCTAGTAGTATTTAACACTGAGGGAGAACTTCTCACCTGAGAAATCTGATTGTTAACAACTTTCAGCTGGAAGAGAAAGCGTGACCTAACTACCTGAGCTTATCTGGAATTGGTGGCATGTTTCTCATAGAAAAAGAAAAGACATTATGCACATCTATCCTCAAGTCTACTGGTGTTCTCTTCTATAATCCAAAATGGCAGAACTGAACACATACCCCTACTTGAATCTGTTTCAATTGCTCCCTAAAAATGTTCCACTACGGCAAGAACACCTGCCAGCTCTGAGCAATCAAACAGATGGCAATTTTATTCATACTAGACAATGGAATTCTCTGAATAGCACAGAGTCAGGCATCACTCAGGAAGAAAACATTGTAGAAGTCACATAGTGACAGAAGAGAGACCCCAACCTAGGAATAGACAGTAAAGATTGCCACTACCAGAATTAATCAATGACATTTTGGTTGGCCAAATCTGAATTATTCTGACAAAAATGAGTGTCCCACCTTAAAGACTATTAGGAATCATGACTGGTACATTATGCACGAGTCTTAAATATTCTAGATATTCATTTATTTCCCAAGGAATATCAGTAACATATTATTTATATCTTATCAGCCTGAGTAGCTTCCAAAAAGGATATAACAATGGTGAAAACTCAGAAGAAGGAAGCATAGTGAAAGTGGGGGAAAAAATGTGTGAGCTCACTTTCCTTCCTTTAGGTTCTTTGACCTGCTGCCAAGCCTGCATGATGTTCTTTGCCCTATATCCTTGCCGAACCCAGCTCTGCTTCTTCACACACCATCTAAATGATCCAGGACAAGTTCATATTGACAGTATTATCATCAGATTCTCTCAGCCTAACTAAACCAAAGCACAATTCCCTATGTCCCAGTGTAATCTATATATGATACACAATTTATTTCTTAAACTAATCCTCAGGTCACCACAATTTTTACATTGCAATACCAGTATCCCTTTTGAAATCTTGGCCAAACACCAAAGCACCATTTCTACCTACCACCTTAATAGTGTAGGACTCTGTGGCATTAAAAAACAAGAACTTCTTTTTTTTCTATCAACACAAAGCATAGTAATTTTCACCAACTGAATTATGTGAATTTTCAAGCCAGCAATCTAAAAATATTCCTAAATCTGATACTGTTTCACTGTGGGATCTTAGGAAAGACCTCCAAAATTCCCACAGGGTTTGACTCACAAGACCAAGGTAAAGTAGTTTGCAGTTTACCTTACAAGAAAACAAAATGGGGGAAAAAAAAACACTTCATTATAAACAGCATTTTATGCACATTACCACTGGATAAACAAGCTGAAAGACCAATGTCATTTCCACATTAGGGGACCCTACTTCCTTAATACAATTAGAGCAAAAAAATGATTATTTGTGAATACAGATATGAATAAAGAGGCTAAGTTGTAACCCACAGTCATTCTGTTATGCTGCACATGCACACATGCACAGACAAACAGGCTGTTCCCAAGCAGGAGGTCAAGAGAGAAACTATCACTGATTTGGTTGTATCGTGTAGACCTGGCATCTTAACCCTCAGCTAGTCAGCTGACAGCTTATAGCTACTTTAGCCTATTTTTATTTGAGCTGGAGCTTGGAATTATGTTGCTTCCAGGCCCAGTTCCAGTGTTCTTGTTTTGGTTTTAAGCTTTCTTAAAGTGAATGAATCATTGAGCAGGATATTACCTAAGGAACAAAAATTAAGAATCAGCTTCCAGCTCTGTGACCAATTCCTGTCTTTATTAACTTCTTTACTGACAAATCAGAAAAAAATACACATTTAAATAAGTAATAACATTTTCCATATATCAAATGGTAATTTTTTTAAAAAGTAATAACCAGATTTGACAATGCAGAGTAAAATATTAATGGGCACAACTTTTCAGACTGACATTCATACCCTTTTGATTCAGTAATTCAATAACTAGAAAATTATTTTAATGAAATAATTGAAGATATAGACAATAATGTACAAATAAAAAGGATGCTCAAGGAACCACGTATAATAGGGAAACATCAAAAACCATCTCAATACAAGGAATTAGATCATTCCACTCATTGAGTTTTTTTCAAGAAAACTAAGGATGGCAATACTCTTGTTATAAAACTTTAATGTTATTTAGTACACAGCAATGCATAAAGTTAAGTAAGATGAAGTTTGGTTGCCATCAAGTTCATTAAGTTATTAATTAAATAATTTATTGACCTAATCCCTGTTACTGAGATGGCTTCCAGTGTTTCCCTATTATACGTGGCCCCCTCTTCATTTGTACACTATTTTCTGCATCACTGATTATTTCATTAAAATTCTTGGCCAAGCACAGTGGCCTACTCCTGTAATCCTGGCAATTTAGGAGGCTGAGGCACTTTAGGAGGCCTCATCTCTACAAAAAAAATAAAAATAAAAAAATTAGCTATAAGTGGTTGCACATGCTTTTAGCCCCAGCTACTTGAGAGGATGAGGCAGAAGGATTGCCTGAGCTTGGGAGGTTGAGGCTATGATTGTGCCACTGCACTCCAGCCTAGGTAACAAAGCAAGACCCCAACACACACACAAAATGATTTAAAAAGGAAGACTTTATTTTCTTATAAATCTCCAATAGAATGGAAGTTCCTAAACAGTCATAGGTTTTAGGTCAACTTCAAAAAGAAACCAAGAACAATGAAGTGTTGTAAGGAAGATAAGTTGAAAAGGTCAGATGTTCCTCTCTCAGGTTCAATTGGCTTTTAATATAACTGATTGTCTGCCAGTTAAGGCTTCAGCCACCAATTTTGACCAGGCCTCTGATTTGATCTACACTGAGGGGTTCACAATACTGGAAGGATAGGGTAGAGAGTACTGTTGCTAAACTAGTCCACAATCCCAGTGGATGGCTTCCATTAGAAGCTGACAACATAATTGGCTCACAAAAATTCAAGTTTTTTTTTCTAATTATACCCCCAAATTATATCATATTCAATTGTTCATTATAAGGAATTATTTCAAAAAATTAGTAGGTATTACTTATTAAACTAGTTTCATACTCTAAATCACATTCAAAATATTATATGAGATAGTATTTAAATCCAAGATGCTTTAATATAGAAAATCTCAGTGTTGTAATTAACCTAATTCTACTATGTGAAATACTCTCATCCAAAATATATGAACAAAGATATATGGTAAACTCACATAAAAGAATCCAAGTGGTCCAGAGATATATGGCATTTTCATTCCCAAGAGATACTTGACTTGTGAAGTCACGACATGAGTGGCGGCCCCAGTTGTCATAGCGCTGATCACAGGTTCTGTGACCAAGAACGTGGCACTGCCCAGTTGCAGCAAAAACATGACTACCTAAAAGGACAAAGAGTTAGATGATACCTTTAAAAGACATTTCCCAAGGTTCTCAGAGGGCTTAATATCTAACAACTTTTTCTGTTTTCTTTTTAATATCTTAAAATTTTATTTTAGACTCAGTGAGTACACATACATATTTGTTACATGGACATATTGTTTAGTAGTGAGGATCTGGTGTCAGCTGACACCTTTTTCATTTATATTTTATGGAATCATAGAAAGTTGATATATAACTGGTTTCTTTTTTATATACAATATCATGAGTTTCTTGACACTTTTGGGCTCCAAGACTTTTCAAATATTATTTGGTACAATGCAAATGCCTCAATTATAATTAATACAACATTTTTTCTGAATATTGACTTCCCCCCCAATCCGCCATGCTATTTTTTTAAAGGGTAAAAGGAAAGGGTATGATTCATTACTTTACCTTGAATAGGCATAAAATCTCAAATGCAATGAGGAGAGAATGCTATTTCTTGAGTTTCTCCCAGGTTTTTAGAAGTGGGAACATACTCTTTGACCACATACTCTGTCAATCAGTTCTAAAGGGCTAATATTTATAAAGGAGATATCAGCACTTATTTGTAAACAAAGAAGAGCCAAAGTCAGTGACAGGGTAAAGGAACATGTCTTAAGAAACATAGAAATCACTATATAAATAATTTTCCCCTAATATTTCCTTACTATTCATAGCATCACCCTTCATCCCAAAACCATTTCATGACCAGACAAAGCCATCAACTCTGAGTAAAACTGTGCATTTAGTTCTGCTGGGGAAAAGGTGACATAGAATCAAAACTCTTCTCTATAACACTTAACACATCAATGATTGGTGTTCTTCCTTTGCCAGAGAGATCTTTTAGAAGATGCACCAGTATTTGACTGTATAAACTCAGTCAGAGAAACTTCAAAATGTACTGTTTTAAAAATAACTAAATTATATTCATGAGCATCTGTACTGGAAAAGAGAAACAAAATAGGTCATGCTGACATAACCTCTTAATGTGTTCATTATAATATTTGGGTCAGGAATTAAAATTCTTCTTGGAAAATGAGATTAACTATTAAAGAAATCGGAAGGAAGAATAGCAATGAGATCTCCTTTTATCAAAATATCACAGTGATGAAAATGAGAAGTACAAAGTGATATCTGGTACCACCAGAGCATAAACTGCAAAATATATAATTTCTGTGTTTTGTTCATAATACAATATCCCTTGGCCAAAAGCAACAATGCTTGGAACTTATATTAAAATGGAGTTTCCTAAGCTCAAATCTGAAAGCTTAGGTTCTAATCCAGGATTTACCACATCCTAGCGTTTTGTCTATAGAAAACCTACTGATTCTCCAAGCCTTATCATCATTATAAATTATTAGAGCACTGCCTGCCCTATCTTGTAAAGATACTCTGGGTATATATTATGTAATATATACAGGACTAAAATGTACTGTGTATGTGATATAGCAGGAACAACACGAGGTGTCATACATATTTACCCAGTGCAGAAAACCAGTCACAAGTTTTGAAAAGGTAGAAAGGGCCAGACCACATGTTCCAAATCTCTAAAACTTGAAAGTCTCTATCAGTACAGAAAGAAACATATATGAATTATTTGCAGTTTAGCAGACACCTTTTATTCAATATTTAATAAAGAAAAGAATATGCGGTGCCAATATGGAAGTCAGCCAATTTGTTATTGCCAATTCAGGATACCAAAGCGGCAACTTCTGCTACTAAGGTTTTCTCAGAAACGATGTGCCAGTATATCAAAGCAGAAATGTTCTGAGGGAAACACCCAAGAAACAACAGTATGGGTATACAAGTGGAGCACAGTGATTTTTTTTTATTTATTATTTTTTGCAAATCATGATTTGTTGTCAACTGATTTTCATTATGAACACACAATCAGTTAAGAAAACATTGACCCAATTATTCCCAAGTATCTCTCTAGTAGTAAGTTAATTGCAATTTCTGACATAAACTCTTACAGTCCATGAGAGTGAAATGTGTATATTACTGGAGTAAAATGAAAATCAGCGAGTAGGATTTTCATTTCGGCTAAATGCAGGACACAAGTAATTCAAAACTCTGAAGTTGTAAAAACCAGTTTGCATATATGGAATTTATACATACTGGGTATGTTGGAAAGATCTTATCTGTATGCCAAATAATCTTCATTTATTTCAAGAATAAAAGTTTTGGAAGGCCTCATATAGGCTGTTTTACCTTCTGTTTTCTACTTCCTATGTTCAAAGTCCTACTTAGAGGGGTTAAGGATTTGCCATGCCTGAGAAATAACGGTCACCTAACCTGAAATGGTACCACACACTTCCAGCTAAACCATTACCTTCTAATAGCTGCTTCCTTGTCATTTCCACAACCTATAAATTACAAAAAGAAAGGTGCAGAAAAAATACAAGATACAAAAAAAGAGTTCAACCATTTCAAGTGTTAAAAAGTATGGGAACCTACCTTGCAACAGAAATGCAAAGGTAGAGTAGCCTCTTTTAAAATACCCAAAGACTTGAAATATATTTGTAATATTATACATGTATGCATTTTTATACTTTAAAACAATTCTCCCAGCAAGGGATAAATCTTTAAAATGGAGAGTTCTTGACTCTGGAAGGTCAATAAGTTCTTTATGACCTCATTTCTGATACAAACAATTGGACTATAAGGGATGTTTGCAAACATGTGAAATTTGACAGAGGAAAAATTACTCTCTTCTGAGTGACAATCTTCTCCATAACCAAAGTCAATGGCAGATATTTTAAGAAGAGGAGGAGGAAGAGAAGTAGAAAGGGAAGGGAGGTGAGAGAGATTTAAGGACTCTTTTTGTACCCACTACCCAAAATTCAAGTTTATTTACATTGAAATCAGAGATATGGCATACAAAGACTGTTAATATACAGCTCGAAGGCAGCAAGTTTCCAAGCAACACAGCCTTGCAAGAAGGACCCACAAATTGAATCATATTTATCTTCCAATTTAAGTATATTAAAATTGAGGTCCTTCTAAAATATTTTGCTTGAAATCCCAGTATTTAAGCTTTATGACAATGTTAAGGATTTTTTAATGTTAATTACTTGATAAACAGCCACATTGTCTCCTTCTACTAATAATATAGATAATAATAATTCTAATCAGGCTGGCCAAATCCCAAAACCTGATCATGCAATATTCTATGAAAAAATTAATTTCATGCAATATACTTCAGCTGTTTGTAGTAATGTTGATGTTCTGGGCTAACACTGAAAACCTCTGAATACATTATGAAGATTCACTAGCATAATACTATTCATTAGTGCTTGTATAAACACCATGTCTTCTACATAAATTGAGTGTATCTCATATTTTAGGTCACTTTTTTACAAGTCGGCTTCAAATATTTTTTAAGTATATAGAAAATAATTATATTACCCAGGTGGACAGACCCTAGCATTCATTTCAAGTTATGTTGGTTTACCTGCAATCCGGCTCTTACATTATACCAAATCACTTATTGGTCCATTCAGTGAATATTTATTGAATGCCTACTAGGGACTAGGCACAGCATTTTTGTAGAGCTAAAGATACAGTTAACACCTTAAAAGATGGTATAAAAGATGATGATGGGAAAGGGGAAAGTTAACCAAAACCATAAAGAAGAATAATATAGGTGTTTGGAAGGTAAATTCTGAGAAGCTGTTCAGGTGGAACTGGAAACAAATAAAGAGCTTTGCATCTATTGCTGAGCTCTGTGTCTATTGCAGTTTTGAAGGAAAGAATTAAACTGCTCTTGACATTAGAAAAATAGCAAGTGCTGCATAGGATATGGCAAGAAAACCTCTGTGTGACCAGAGAACTTGAGAGAAAAAATATGAAATGGATACCTATGAAGTTATGTGTTATAAAATTCAGAATATAAAACCTTCCTTCATACTAATCAGTAATATAAAGGAATGAGCCAAGTCATGCAAATACATGGATGAATCTTAAATGCATACTGTAAGTGAAAGAAGGCAATCTGATTCCATCCACATGACATTCTAGAATAGGCAAAACTATAGAATCGTAAGTAGATCAGTAGTTTTCAGAAGCTTTGGAATAGGGGAGTGTGTAGGAAGTGAAACATGAGATTTTTAGGATGGCGAAACTATTCTGTATGTTATTGTAAAGGTGGATGTGTGACATTATGCATTTGTCAAAACCCATAGATTTCTACCACAAAAGTGTGAAGTTTAATGCATGTAAATTTTAAAAAATCATGTAGAAAGGAATCTTAAGTAACCCCAAATGGCCAAAACAATCCTGAAAAAATGAATAAAGCTGAAGGATTCACATATCCTGATTTTGAAAGTTACTACAAAGCTACAGTAATCAAAGCAGTGTTATACCTGCATAAAAAATAGATACATAGACAAATGGAATAGAAAGCACAGAAATAAACCCTGGCATATAAGGTCAAATGTTTTTGACAAGAGTATAAGACCATTCAGTGGAAGAAATGACAGTGTTTTTCATTAATGAAGCAAGGAAAATTGGATATCCACATGCAAAAGAATGAAGTTGAACCCTTACCTTATATCCTATACAAAATTCAAAATGGATCAAAGACCAAAACTATAAATCTCTTAGAGGACAAAATTGTGCAAAATCTTCATAACATTGGAGTTGGCAATGATTTTTTTAAATATGATACCAAAAGCATGGACATCAAACAAATAAACAAACTAAACTTCATGAAAATATTACAAATTTACACATCAAAGATCCTATCAACCGAATAAAAAGGCAGTCCATAAAATGGTAGTAAATATTTCCAAACCATTTATTTGACATGGGATTAATATCCAGAATATGCAGAGAACTCTTTAAACTCAACAACAACAAAAATACTTAATTCAAAAATGTACAAAGGACTGTATAGACATTTCTCCAAAGATATAAAAATGGCCAATAAACACATGAAAAGATGCTCAACATCACTACTAATTAAAGAAGTACAAAT